ACCCATACTCATACAAGGAAGACCATTAATACCTCTATCATTCAAGCATACGCACCAACAACCAGATCAAAAAGGAGAAAACAGATTATTCCTATCAACTTTTATAGTCAGAAATCAATTGAACATGCAACCAAATTCATTGATAATAATGTTAGACTGAAATACAAAAGTTGGAAACAGAGAAGAAGGATCAATAATCAGAAAACATGAATGAGGTGATAGAAATGATGCTGGATAAATGATAGAATTTCATGCAATGATTTATTCATTGTCAATACATTTATAAGAAACATAAATGGCAGCTATACACATGGACCTCACCTGACAGCCTGCACAGGAATCAGATTGATTGTATCTATAGAAAGAAGCTCAATATCAGCTATGAAAACTGGGCCAGGTGCTGATTGTGGAACAGACCACCAACTATTCATATATAAGTCCAAACTAAAGCTAAGGAAAATTAAAGCAAACCTGAAAGAACCAAAACTTGACCTTGAGTCTATCCCACCTGAATTTAAAAACCATCTCATGAATAGGTTTGAGGCCTTGAAAACTGAAGAACAAAGATCAGATGAGCTGTGAAAGGATATCAAGAATATCATCCAGAAAGAATCCAAAAGGTCATTACAAAGATGGATGAGCAAGAAAAGATCTAGATGAATATCAGAGGAGACTGATTATTGCATTAGAGTGCCAAGAAGCCAAAGCAAAAGAGAGAAATCAAGAAATTAAGGAGCTAACAGAAGATTTCAAAGGGTAGCTCAGGAAGACAAAGCAAAATATTATAATGAAATGAAATATAATGAAATATTATAATGAAAGCAAATAGACTGAACTCACTTGGCATTTTTTACACTGAAGGAACTGAAGAACAAATTCAAGCCACTAGTGGCAATACTTAAGAATGTTATGGGCAGAATATTGAATGATCCAGAAAGCATCAAAAGAAGACAGAAGGAGTAATAGAGTCACTGTACCAAAGAGAACTGGCTGATACAGAAGAATTTAATGAAATATCATATATCCAACAGACAATGGTGATGAAGGAGGAAGTTCAAGCTGCTCTGAAAGGAATTGGGGGTGGGGGGAACAAGGCCCCAGCAATTGCTGGAATACCAGTTGACATATTCCAACAAAGATGCAGCCCTGGATATGCTCACCAGGTTGTTTCAGGAAACCTAGAGGACAACTACCTGGCCAACTGTCTGAAAGAGATCCATATTTATACCTATTCCCAAAAAAGGTGATCCAATAGAGTGTGGAAATTATTGCACCATATCACACACAAGCAAAATCCTGCTGACGATTATCCAAAATGACTAGAACAGTGCATAGATAAAGAACTACCAGAAATATAAGCTGGGTTTGGAATAGGCTGTGGCACTAAGGACATCGTATCCAATGTGAGATGAATTTTGGCAGATAGGAGAGGTTACAAGAAGAATGTTTATCTGTGTTTCATTGACTGTGGCTAACCTTGAGAAGAATGGGAGCCCAGAACACTGATTGTGCTCATGAGAAACCTATACTTAGACCAGGTTCAAAATAAAAAAAAGAAGTGCATCAGGGATGTGTCCAGTCTTCATAACTTTTCAATCTATATGCAGAACAGATCATTCAGGAGGCTAGAATTTATGAGGAAGAATGAGGCATCAGGATTGAAGGGAGACTCAACAACCTGTGTTAGGCAGATGACACAACCTTGCTTGCTGAAACTGAAGAGGACTTGAGACATTTGCTGCAGAAGGTCAAGGACTGCAGTGTTCAATATGGATTGAAACTCAACATCAAGAAAACAATTTCTCACCACTGTATCAATTGGAATTACCATGATAGATGGAGAACAGATTGAGATTGTGAACACTTTCAGCTTCCACAATAAACACTCTTGGTGCCAACAATGAGGAAATTAAACTAATTGTGTTGGGGAAATCTGCTGTCGGGGACCTCTCCAGAGTGCTAAAGTGCAACAATGTCCATATAGAGACTTAGGTGATCCTGATCCTGATCATGGTATTTGCACTTACTTGTGTATCAGAAAGCTGGACAATGACTAAGGATGAGAGATGAGTAGATGCATGCTTTTGAATTATGCTGAAGAAGAGTACTGAACACACCATGGACTGCCAAAAGAGTAAATGGAGAAGTCCTGGAGAAAGTAAACCCAAATTAATCCTTGGAGGCAAAAATTTTGAAGCTCCATCTGACATTCTTTGAGCTTATTGCCAGGAGGGACCAGTCCTTGGAGGAGGACATCATACATAGAATGGTGTAAGGACAGGGCAAGAGTGGAAGACCCTGTAGAAGACAGATTGATTCGGTAACTGGGGTTAGGGTGCAGGTGTGTTGGAGACAGTGAGACTGACATAGGATAGGGCATGGTTCAGAGCTATTTTGCATGTGAGTCTGAACTGACAGCACATAACAACAACAATAATCATTAATACACATGCAAGTAAAATCTTTCTGAATATATTTCAAAATGGCTGGAGCAGAGCCTCAACATTGACTGTTTCATCTCTAGATTAATCAATGTTAAGACAGTGCTTTGTAAATTCTTTATTGTGTTTTATAGTATTCTATTGTGTGAAAGTACCAGTTTCTTTACGAATTCATCTGTAAGTGGGTATTTGTGTTATGTATAGATTTTTATATTGTGAATATGGCTAAAATAAACATGGGTGTGCATATATTTGTTCATGTCACAACTCTTTTTCATTTAAGATACATTCCTAAAAGTGGGATTGCTACATCAAATTGTATTTCTATTCCCAACTTTTTAAGAAATCACAAAACTGTTTTCTAAAATTTAACAGAACAACAATTTAACAAGCAACAAATGCTGGCGAGGTTGTGGAGAAACTGGAACTGTTGGTGGGAGTGTAAAATGGTGCAACCACTGTGGAAGGCTGTATGGAGCTTTCTCAAAAAGTTGCAAATAGAGACACCATTCAACCTAGCAATTCCACTATTGGGAATATACCCCAAAGAGACCATAACTGACATCCAAGCAGATATATGCACACCCATGTTTATTACTGCTTCGATCACAATAGCAAAGAGTTGGAAACAACCTAAGGGTCCATCAACAAATGAATGGAGAGAGAAGCTGTGGTATATTCACATAATGGAATACTACCCTGCATTGAAAAACAAGGAACTCATACAATATTATTAAAAATGGGTGACCCTGAGGACATTATACGGAGTGAAATATCTCAGTCACAAAAGGACAAGTACTGCATGGTGCCACTGTTGTAAAACAGGACTGACATCGGGGTCGGGGGGAGACTGAGAAAGATGGGTTCAATAATGTTTACTGCATTGAAACAGATGAGGGAGAAAAGTGTTTAAAAGGGTTATGTGATTAGGTATTTTTGTCATGACAGGAGTCCAGAGCGAAGGCTACATAGTGGAGTGGACCTGGGGGAGGGTTTGTAAATCAATGATAGAATTTTTTTTTCTTTTCCAAGAGTGTAGTGTACTAGAGGGGAGGAGGGGAGAAAAGTGCAATAGTGAATGAATGGAAGTCCAAAGTCTCTGTAAATTTTCATTGAAATTAATGATGTTGTTGTTGTTGTTGTTATGTGCTGTCGAGTCGCTTGCACTCATAGCGACCCCATATACAACAGCCCTAAAATCTGCTCTGTCCTGTGCCAATCGCACTATCTCTGATACTCCCTGCCGATTACCCCGGTCACTGAATAAATCCACCTCATAAAGGGCCTTCCTCTCCTGTGCTGTCCCTCCACCCTACCAAACATGATGTCCCTCTCCAAGGACCTGTCCTCCTTACAACATGTCCAAAGTATGTTAGATGGAGCCTCAGAATCCTTGCCTCCAAGGAGCCGCCCAGTTTAACCCTCTCTAGGATAAACCTGTTTGTTTTCTTAGCAGTCCATGGTACCCTCAGTACTCTTCTCCAGCACCACAGCTCAAAGGCATCAATTCTCCTTCTATTCTCCTTTGGCATTGTCCAACTCTCTGATGCATAACAACTGATAACAAAGACCATGGCCTGTATCAGATGCACCTTAGTCTCCATTGCTCTTCAGTACTTTGGCGAAGTCCCTAACAGCAGACTTTCCCATGGCAATACATTTTTTAATTTTCTGGCTACTGGTGCCAAGAGTGTTGACTGTGGAGCCAAGCAAACTAAACCTGTGAACAATCTCAATCTCTTCACCATTCATCCTGATGCTGCCAATTGAGAGAAAAAGACACCAACACAAAAACTGCTTTTCACAGAAGTACACCATTTTACAATCCCATCAGCAGTGTATGAGCTCCAGTCTATTCACACTCTTGTGAGAACTTGCTGCTTAGGGTCAATCTATACCCCTCTCCTCATACACTTTTTTTCTTTATTTTTTTCCCCCTATACACTTTTGAATGGTTTTATTAATATTATATTGTTTAGCTATTTAGTGTTTACAGTTTATATATTTTCGATTGAAAGTCATTATAATATCATTCTTACAGCTTGGCTCAATATTTCAAGAATCACAGGTTGGTTTGTGTGCAAACAACAGGTCATTCCAAGGGAGACTACAAAGTTAACGTGATAGAAAATGTCTGCCAAAATATAAAATTTATGTTACAGAATGTTATTTTAACAAATATTTAAATGGTATTTGAGACTTGATGAATTTTCTCTACATATTAAAGTACAATGAAAATTCATTTAAAAACTTCATTTCAAATACACTCAGATTTAATAAAACATCCTAATTTATGATTAGTAGTTGACTTTACAGCATCTAGCAACTTCAGAAAACAATCATTTTAAGAAATCATAAATATGAGCTATTTCAGCAACTACTTTCAATAGCAACTTATTAATTATGTGTTAAATACCAGAACACAAATTTAAATCTCAGAAGGCAAAAAAAATGTCTTCTCATCTAGTTAAAAGAATCCTAATATTTTTACTTCAAAATGTGGCTTACTATACAACATGTTTAAAACATAAACACTCAGTTTTATTTTTAAATACTTACAGCTTGGGCTTCCTCATTCTCAAACGTAAGCAGATCCAGAGTGGAATCTTGGTCCAGAGCACGGTCCAAGTCCCATAATTCACCGTTGACTTTAGCGATCACTGTGCTTTCAGCCAGTTCTTTACTAGGAAGAGAAAAACCACTTGGGAATTAAAAATTCATTAACAGCAACAACAACAAAGTAAAACAAATAAAGTAAAATACTTTTCAGAACTTATATAGAGGAAGGGTAGGAATACAATCTAACAAGTCAGGGTTGTTGTTTTTTTATCTTGAAAACATTGATTTTAAGCACAAAAATGTGTGTCTATTGTAGTAAAGTTAGAAAATAGAGAAGGTGTAAGGATAAAGATGACATATAGAGACATTTATTCTGTGTGTCTCCACTGTTTTTTTGATAATTTCCTCCCCTTCTCCTCTGTCCACGAATCTTTTTTCTTCCTCCTCAAAAAATGGCACAAAAGAACACCAAGCCTCAAGAGAAAAGCTCAGGAGAGGCAGGGGCTCTGTGCTGAAAGTGAGCACTCCTCATTGTCTGTGATAGGACTGAGGCATCTCTGGGGTTGTAGATACCTCCATATGGGGGTCCTTGCCTCTGTGGCTGCAGGGCATGCCAGGGGCCAAGCAGGATAAGAGACTTTAGTGTGCAGAACTTTGCACACAGGGAAGAATTTTCTTGGCTCCCAGTAACAAAGGGCTGACAAGTAATCATCTGCATAGAGCTCACCCAGGTAGGGGGTCTGATCTCCCTCCACATCAGAGAAAAAGGAGCACACCAATCTGCAGAAGAAAAGGACAGGACTGGTGAAGGCTCTGTGTCAAGAGCAAGCACTCCCCATTGCCTGTGGGGATACAGATCTGAGGTGTTTCTGGACTCGTGGCTAGCTCCATTGGGGATACTTGCATGTGAGGTTACAGGGCCATCCCAGGGAACAAACAAGACAAGAGATTTTAATACACAGAAGTTCAGGCAGAGGGAAGAGATTTTTGTAGCTGTCTGGAAGAGAGAAGGAGGGCTGACTTGAGATGCCCTGCATGGAAGTTGTTTGAACAAGCAACCCTGATCTCCTGCCATTCCAGAGAGGAAGGAAGACATTAAGCTCCAGGAGAAAGGGTACATAAGAAACTGCTTGAGCACTAAGCCACTTCATATATGAAGAAGACCTATAGAGTTGATGTCAGGGGATTACTTAAAGATGAGATTCCTATAGGGCTACAGTGCAGAGCAGAGAGAGAACTTCAAGGGCTTTAAGAAAGGCAAATTTTCCCAAAAAGACTTAGAGTGGAATGAGTACCTCATCACATTTTAACTTGGAAACTAACTAGTAGCATTACAAAGGGAAAAAACAACCACATTCACAGACACAATAGAAACGCCCTAATATTTATCAAGAAAAACTTCACATAATGTCAAGAAAGCAACAGGCAACTTCAAATATCATCAGGAAGAAACAAATTAAGTCTTTTAAAAAAAACCCTCCAAAAACCAAACCAGAGAGACCTCTTTAAGACCTCAAAATCAAGATGATATATGTTGATATGGAGACCTTTGAACAGCTACAGATAAAAAGTACAAATGATGGAGGAAACAATGAAAGTCACAGATAAAAGAGATAATGTAGAGGTAGAGAACCAGAAAAAAAAATGTATTGATGAAGAGTTATTTGAACAGCTACAGAAGAAGGTGTAAATGATGGAAGAAGCAATGGAAACCCACAAGAAAGCAAATGCTCCAGAGCCAGAAGAAATATATTGATGAGGAGGAACTTGCACAAATATGGAAGAAAATGCAAAACATGGAAGAAAGAATAGAAACTATAGATAAAGAGATACAAGAACTTAAAAAATCATCACAATATAGAGATTGTAATATATATTGTACAATATTGTACTATATATTGTACAATATAGAGACAGTACTAGAAATAACAGAAAGGCAGGAAAATGTAATCCAGGATATTAAGACTGAAATGGCAGAAGTGCCCAACACGTTGGAAGGACAAAAAAGTAGAACAGAAGAGTTGGAGCAGTGAGTCTGTGGGCTGGAAGACAAAAACCTCAATGGAAACATACTAGAAGAAAAATCAGAGATGAGACATAAAGAAAATGAAGAATATATTAGAAGTATGTGGGATGATATCAAAAGGAATAACATGCATATGATTGGAATTCTAGAAAATGACAGGAATAGGGAAAAATCACTGAGAAAACTCTGGTAGAGGTACTAGAAGAAAACTTCTCAGGTATTATGAAGAATGAGGAATTCCACATTCAGGAAGCTCAGTGAACACCAAATAGACTAGACCACAAAAGGAAAACATCAAGACATATCACAGTAAAATTCTCCAAATAAAAGATGTTGTTAGGCGCTGTCGAGTCGCTTGGGACTCATAGCGACCCTATGTACAACAGCCCTAAACTCTAGAATATTTAAAGTAGCACGAGAAAATCGAAGAGTCACCTACAAAGGAAAAGCAATGAGATCAAGTTCTGATTTTTCAACAGAAACCACGTGAGCAAGAAGACAATGGGATGGTATATATAGAAAGTAGAAAGAAAACAATTGCAAACCCAGGATCCTGTACCCAGAAAAGCTTTCTATCAAATACAAAGGAGAAATCACATCCTTCACAGAAAAGAAATTAAGGATTTTGTGAAAATAAGATCAAACCTACAAGAACTTTTAAGGGAAGTCCTACACACAAAGACACCAAAGGAAAGTGTTTGGATTATAGTAACAAGAAACAACAAAAAAAGAAACACAGCAAAATGGCAATGATAAAACGTGGCCTGTCAATGATTACATTTTACATGAATGCGCTTAATGTACCAATCAAGAGAAAAAGAGTAGCAGAATAAAAAAATCAAAACTCATCAATATGTTGTATACAAGAGACACATCTAATAAACGAAAAGAAAGATAGACTCAAAATCAAAGGCTGGGGGGAAAATATACCAAGCAAATGGCATCCACAAAAAAGCAGGAGTGGCAGCTCTAATCACTAATAAAATAGACTTCAGAATGAAAATCACCATAAAAGATAAGGAAGGGCATTATACAGTGATTAAAGGCATGATAGATCAAGAGGACATAACATTGATCAACATCTATGCATCAAATTATAGACCTGCTAAATACATAAAACAATTGTTAACAGAACTGAAAAAAGAAATAGCACCACAATAGTGGTAGAAGACTTTAATACACCACTCTCGCCAAAAGGTAGGTCAACTCAAAAGAAACTGAACAAAGATGCAGAAGAATTAAACTATACAGCCAGCCAACTCAATCTTGTGGATGTAGTTCAAGCACTGCACTCAATTAATTTTCTTTTCAAGTGCACATGGTACATTCTCCAGAATTTATCACATATAGGGCACAATGCAAGCCTCAAGAAATTAAAAAACATTGAAATAAAATATCTTCTCAGACCACAATGCCATAAAACTAGAAAATAACCACTAGAGGATAAAGCTTACAATGCCATCAGTGTGGAAGCTAAATAACACCCTGCTTGAACATGACTGAGTTACACTAAGAAATAAAGAATGAAATTAAAAAGTTCCTTAAAACAAATGATAATGAAAACACAACATACAAAAATCTGTGGGATGCAACTAAGGCAGTCTTCTGGGGCCAGTTCATAGCAATAGGTAAACACACAAAAAACAAAGAAAAAAGCAAAATAAATTATCTAACTCAACATTTTGATGAAAGAGAAAAAGAACAACAATCTAACCCAACAGCCTCTAGAAGAAAGGAAATTATGAGGATAAGAGTTAAAATCAATAAGATAGAAAACAGAAAAACATTTGAAACCATCAATAAGACCAGGAGCTGGGTTTTTTTTAAGGGATTAAAAAAAATAGACAAACTATTGGCAAATTTAACAAAAGAAAAAAAGGAGAAGACACAAATAAGTTGATTAAGGAATGATAGAGGCAAGCCAAGTAAAGACACCAACAAAATAGAAAACTATAGGCCAATATCTCTCATGAACATGTTGTTGCTGTTATGTGCAGTCGAGTTGCTTGCAACTCATAGCGACCCTATGTACAACAGCCCTAAACTCTGCTCTATCCTGTGCCAATTGCACTGTCTCTGACACTCCCATCCTGATTATCCCAGTCACTGAATCAATCCACCTCATAGAGGGCCTTCCCCTCCTGCGCTGTCCCTCCACCCTCCCAAGCATTATCCTTCTATTTTTACAATAATGGTCTTATGCAGAATTTGTTCTTATGAGACTGAGTTAGTTCACTCAGCATAATAGTCTCCAGTCTCTTCTAAGTCATGTAGTAATTTTCAAAATTGTTGCTCTTGAGTGCTACATAGTATTCCCTTGTATGAATGTATCACAATCTCTCAATCCCTTTGATTATATTTGGACATTTGGGCTTTTTCTATGTTCTTGTGATTGTGAATAACCCTGCTATGAACATTGGTATACAAGTCTCTGTTTGTGTCTCAGTTCTTATTTTCTCAGGGTATATTCCTAGCAGTGGAATAGCCAGGTCATATGGAATTTCTATGTTCAACTCTATAAGGAAATGTCAAACTGCCTTACAGAATGCTTGTCCACTTTACAATCCCACCAATAGTTTATGAAAGTTCTTATCGTTCCGCATCCTTTCCAACATTTATTGCTTTCTTTCCTGTTAAACTTTGCCACTGCTACTGGGGTGAGATAGGGAGCTCTGTTGGCCTAGTGGTAAGAATCTACACTGTAGTCCTGAAAGCTTGCAGTTAGAATGCCCCAGCTGCTTTGCAGGAGAAAGATGGGCAGTCTCCTCCTGTGCTATTTACTGCCTCTGAAAACCTTCTAGAGGGTCAGCTATGGGTCCATTCCGACTTGACGGTAACACAACTGGGGTAAGATAGGATCTCATTGTAGTTTTAATTTGCATTTCTTCTATTGCCAGTTATTTTGAGCATTTCTTCATATATCTGGTGGCCATCTGACTGTCTTTCACAACCAGGAGAGTATAAAATTGATGACTGGTACCTTCTAAAGATTAAATCCCTGTGTGCATTAAAACTTTTTCCAATAAGGTGAAAAGAAAACCTACTGACTGAGGATAAAACATTTAGCAGTACGATCTCAGACAAGAATCTCATAACAA